CAAGCGGCGCAAACCACATGGATCATGTTTTCCGGAGGGGCATTGATCGCGGCACTAAGTTCAGCCGCACGGTAGGGTGGTCTTAATGCCTTTGTACTTGGTCGGGAAAACACGTTCGCCTGTAGTGGAGCCCAAACACCTGGCAGCGCCGTTCGCTGTTCTGCAAACCGGGCGTGTAATCCATACGGACGTCACGTAGGGGGTTGACGTTCCCGACACGAAGCGGGGGCTTTCCCCGGCCAAGCCGCGCCATTCGTGGTAGTTCACCCCACTGTACAGGACACGGAGGTCCGGCGGCCACCGACGCTCGTGCTGCATGGCAGAGCCGACGCGTCCGAGTCTGGAGAACCCACCGCCAAGCCCCGACGCTGCTGCGCTGGTACCCCCGGCGGCAGCACCCGGCGCGGGCCCGCGCGCCACGTCTGTCCTCGGCGCGGGCCTGCGCGCCACGTCTGTTCTCGGTCTGTCCCCGGCGCGGGCCTGCGCGCTACGTCTGTCCTCGGCATGGGCCAGCGCGCCACGTCTGTCCTCGGCGCGGGCCTGCGCGCCACGTCTGTCCTCGGTCTGTCCCCGGCGCGGGCCTGCGCGCTACGTCTGTCCTCGGCGCGGGCCTGCGCGCCATGTCTGTCCTCGGCATGGGCCTGCACGCCATGTCTGTCCTCGGCATGGGCCTGCGCGCCACGTCCGTCCTCGGCGTGTGCCTGCACTCCATGCCCTGGTCTGAGGCGCTGCCAGCAGCAGCGGCAGCCGTCACTCACAGGCCGGCCATAACGCAGCACCGCAGGCGCTCGGTGACGTCAGAGAGCGCCTGCGTGACGTCAGAGAGCGGCCGTGTCCGTGAGGCCACACCTGGCGCAATGTGTGATGACGGCACGCGTCTCGGCAGCCGGGTGCCGCCCCGGCTGGCACTGCCCGGGCCGCGGCCGTCGCCAGGCGAGCTCAGCACAGGAATAATGAGGGCTGAGGGGGAGGAGTCTGTCCGGGATCCTCCCGCTGACCGTGTCAGTCGTGACCGGCATCGGTGACGAGATTCTGACTCATCACGGGCACGACATTTCGCAGAGGCCGGCGCCGGAAACCCTGACCGTCATTGCAAACCGTGAGGTGACGCCACGCAGAGCTCAGCACGGCACCGGCCCGAAGCGGCGGCGGGACTGTGCAGGGTCGGGCGCCACGACCTCTACCGGGACGCCGCTCGTCTATCGTGCGGGACGCCCGGGTGATGGCGGACCACACGAAACTCGAAACAACTACGCGATCAGAACGAGTCTCGCTTTCTCGGAATCGCTTGTTTTCTCCTGTGGATTGAGCCGGCGCGCCTGCATTCCACTAGAACCACTGGGACAGCTGGCGGCCAGGCGCGGAGGCCCGCAGAGGTGGGAGAGACGGAGCTCGCCGGGCAGCTGCCGACCGGCTCCCGTTCGTGACCGGACGGTGACCCGGCCCGCCCCCTGACCCTGTTCCCGGCCGCCGGCGGGGCGGGGTGGGGCCGGCCGCTGCCGAAGCCTCAGAGCAAACACGGCAGGGATCGATCTGGCTGGCCGGGCGCCCACGCGGGCCGCCGGCCGCCCGGCGACAGCGCAGCGCGCCGGCACGCCCGGCCCGGAGCCGGAGACGGAGTCGCAGCCGCAGCCCAGGGACGGGACGGCCGGCGCCACTGCGCGGGAGGCTAGGGGCAGACAGAGCGCCGGCCGTCGCTGACGAGGAGAGGAGCGGGGATCTCACCCGTACCCCCGGTACTCGGCACTGTCAGTGCGCCCATGTGAAAAAGTCAATCGGTGACGATCTAACCACGCCGTCAAAAATGGAAGCTGAGAAACGCTCTATGTGGCCCCTAGAAGGTGAAGTGTAAACACACGAACGCAGCCGATGACATAACATGAGCTCAGCGCTGTGGAATTCGAATAAACACAGGCCTGATTTTGGTTCCGTCACCCTGATAGAGGCTTGTCACTCCGAACGAGGTTTCGTGTACATGCCCAGGCTGTAGCCAAAACAGCACAAGGTTATAAAAATATATACGGAAAGCAAGAGGGTGCCAAATGAATCAGAATAAAATATCAAATGAAACATCAAGGTGTGACATTTCGCATACTTGATGACCAGCGTTGACTTAAAAAAGTAACAACGTACATGAATAATTACGCAGACGGTCCACATCACACCCAGATCGCGGAAGGAAAACAACAGGCGTCAACCTGTTGACGAAAACAACAACAACGAAAACAACAACCGGTCCATCAGCGATCTCTGCGAGCAGCCCCCCGTCAGTACCTCGCCCAGCCCTTGCCCACCGCGTCAGCAGCGCGAGTAGCAGCCATGAGCGTGGTGGGAGCCGGCTCCTGGAACAGGTCCATGATCCTATCGACGGTGTGTCGCTTCTCTTTCCAGAACGGACGACATCAAGCTTAGCCGGCGAGCTGGCGAGACCAGGCTTGGCCGAACGGTTCCGCCGGAGATCGAACTCCAGTGGCTTTCAGTTCCGTACCGTTCAGGTCTGGCTAGCCGCCGTGCTGTTGCCGCTATGCTAGCATGTCGCCACTTCCGCAGCGTCTACCGACCCAGCGTTAGCGCCTCGGCGCCGAGCCCAGCGAGAGACGAGCGATCCCGGCGACAGGCACCGCGCCATGGTCGTGAGCCTTCGTCCAAGCAAGGGCGGCGATGCCCGCCGTTGACGACGCGCTCCACTTGAAGACCGGCGCTGATGCGGCCGTGCGGCGTGGAGGGCTCCGCCGCAGCCGGCATTACGCAGCGCCGGCCTCGTCAGGGCTGCGCGGCCCAGGCCGGAACGTGTGCCCAGACCGGCGGCGTGATGCTCAGCCTCGGGGCGGGGGGGGGGGAGGGGGAGCAAGGCGCCTCTCCGTGACCGGCGTCTGTTCCCGAGCGGAGCCTGGCATCGCCTCCCTTTACCTGTGCAGCGTCAAAGTCCTGAAAGTATGCCCTCTGAAGCTATAGGTCGCCGTCGACGTCGAGGTTCTAGCCATTCGTCACCATGTGCCCAGTAGCAGTAACCGCTAACCAAGCAGTATATTTACTCAATCCTCGTGTTGCTGTACTCGAGGGTGTAGGTTCAAGGACCACCGGCCACTTTCTTTATATTTCTTTATATGTCATTCGATCTTCAAATTCGGTTTCCGTAAGCCGAAATCACAGTAACCCCACACCGTAATCGGCCAATGTAGGTCGGGCACAGCCCTGGACAGCGCTGATCCACCGAGACAGTTTCCTGCAAAATGGCACCCTTACATACCGGGGGAACACACCGTCAGTTAGGGCGTATTCGCAGGGACACGGACGGCAACGAATCTGAGTCGTCCATATCGCCATGTCGCTGTCACACCTCAAAGATTCTGCGCCTTTTGATTCAGCCACCCAGACGTCGACAATTATAGGTGACGTCATGTGGAGTCTTTGGGATGTGCATGTGTTTCCGATACTTGTTCGACGTGAGAAGGAAGTGGTGCAACATGTCCATTTAGAAACCAGTCAGTTTGCACGCCCCCGACCGACTTTGGATCAAGAAAGGTGTACCTTGCGTTACTAACAGCATATTTGCAGCTCCCATGGTTAGGGGCGCGTGGGCACCAGGCTAGAGCCACAGAGAATTAAAATGTGCTGCATTATTGTCACGAAAATTACGAAAATGTGCACGACAATGTCATGACGCCAGACGTGTTACTCTGCGAATACGTCCGACAAAGATTCCACCTGACGTCACAACGAACAGAACAAACTGCGAATATAACCTTAATATCGTGCAACACCGCTGTATCCACCGAGTTCTGTTGATGGCGAGTGCACCGCGACACGGATTAGGCGGTTCACGCTTTCCCAGACTCTGTGTCGGGTTTCATGGGGCACGATCACACCTGTTATCATGCCACAGCTGTGGAGCTTTACGACCCCTTCCGGTAATCTGACCCCTGAATTGGAGCCGGCTCCGCAAGCCAATAATTCCGCCCGCGGGGCCGTTCCACGACAGCGGCGACGCGAGACAGTGCTCGGGCAAGCTAACACGACGGTGCTTCAGGCCGGACAGAGGATTTTCCTCCGCTCGGTGTCACGCGCGGCAGGCCGAGAGGACGCGGAAGGAGGCGTGTTTGCTTCTAGATATTGCGCTGGCCGTACCCTTATCTTGAGCCAGGGCGTGCGAGAAAAGATTGCGATAACTGTGAGATTCATGGTGAGACAATCCTTTGAATTTGGAGTGCAAGGATTGCGAGTTTCTGCAGCACGCAGAGACGAAAGGGGAGCCTGGATGTTGCGCTGCCGGTTGGGTGGTTCGTTATACGGTCACACCGGACTGTCGTCGGTGTTCGCGGGCATAATGTCCGCGGCCGGCGATGTGGGACCGCTGGCCGCCAACAGATCGCAAGTCTATCGCACCGTCAGTTATCAGGCGCGGTCGACAACCAGTGCTCAGCAAAATAAACCCCTATCACACGAGCGGAGGTGCAGACTGATGAAGTAGCGGCGCGCACCGCCTGCAGGCCCCTTCTCGCCCATACGTCACAAACTTGATACGTGGAGCAGCCCCAGGCTCCGCCACGGGGGGACGAACAGGCACCACACCCAGACAACGGAGGGGGCCAACATACCCCCCCCCCCCGCAGTGATGGGAAGCGGCCGGGACGGTGGTGACTCTCACCGGACGGTGCCATGGCGCGGGCGGCAGCGGGCGGCGCGCGGCGACACAGCCAGACAGACGCCCTGGCCCGCCCCGAGACGCGCACAGTCGCACAAACCGGCGCCGGTCGACTGGCGGCGGCCAGCGGCGCGACCTCGGCGGCGATCGATGCGGCGGCGGCAGCGGCGGCGCGCCCACCGCCATCGATTCCGTGCCGGCCCAGCGGCAGTGGGGCGGCGGGGGCGGACCCCCTCCCCGGCGCCTGTTACCGGGCGCCGAGGGGTGCCGTCCGACCCAGCCTGACCTCTACGGTCCCCCGGTCGACCGCTCCACCAGCGGCGCTGGCGTGCGGCCGGCCAGGCGCGTCCCTCACCTCCTTCAGGGTGTGGTCCTCCAGCTTCTTGGTGGACAGGTTCAGGTGCCGCTCCAGGCTGGAGCAGAACTTGTGGCTCTGCTTCTCGAACTTTTTCCGGCCCTCCTGTGAAGTCCAGCAGCGTTACTGACCGCTAAAACACGCCACATTTGTATCACGCAGGTCCAGCCGCATCAAGCGGGCTCGAACGACGATGGGATCGCTTGGTATTCGGACATCGGGACATACGGTTGAAACCTCACATCGACAAGCGACATCCATTTCAGATGCATGACTGCTCTGTCGACAAGGAAAAGTCACGCGTCTCTTGTTGGGATCGAGATTACCATACCATAAAATGCCTGCCTACCATGTACCGCCGTGAATCTGACAAAGGCAGGAATAGTGCGCCGAAGCTGAGCCCACGACAATGATGCGCATCAGCAAGCGGGTTACGCGCAGAGTGTCTCGAACACACGATACATCATAATGCAATGCTTAAGGCCATGGTTATAAATGCATGGTGAGTAGCATTTGACAACAGCTGCTGCCCGCCACTAAAGGTTCCGAGAAACTGTGATAGTCGAATGCAGTAATACGGGTTTGTATACAGCATTTGGCAGGGCGGATCGCTGTAGTGTAAATAAGCTCATACGGCCTCGCTTGAAATGACAACAGTCAAAGTGATAAACAGTACACAAATGAAGTATAACAACATTATCTGTACCACTCCGTAAATCATATCATTATGTTGTTGTTCATGCAACGTTGCTGCGCCACCATGTGGTGCGTGTTTTATATGCCACAATACCTGCCCCTTCTAGCGGTCAGGGCCATAGCACTCCGTTTGCGTGTTGCCCACGCCAGCTGCAGCCCGGTAAGCGGCGAGGCCTGCTCGTTTAACCGAGCTGTCTGCTGTGACCCATGCGGGGCCCGTGATAACAGATGCCTATCGACACGATACCGCAGCAAGAGCCCGCCGTAAAACGCCTCCGCCCCTCGCGGTGAACTGGCGCGGCGTCGCAGACGTCACGCGGGCAGAAGGCCACCGATGGCATCCGTGGCCTCTACATCCGGCGCGGGAGATCGTGACACGCCGGCGTGCCCTCCCCCCCCCCCCCCCCTCCCCCTACTCACGTGGTCCGGAAGACCACCCAAACCGGTCGCTGGCTCGGCCGCCCGCGGACGAATGTCCCGCCCTACGCTTGGAGATTTCGGCCCTCCTTCCCTCCGAGAATGCTCGGACCGGAAGCCCCTGCCGGCGCCCCGTGACGTCACCTGAACGGTAGACCAAACAAGCCTCGACGCAGCCGGTGGTCGCGGCGCCGTGTTGACTGTGACAGCAGGATCACGGTGTATGTACGGCGCCGGGCGCGCGTACACACGGGCGGCGACAGCTGGGGTCCCCTGTCTGTCGCAAGAGTGCGCCTTCGCATTTTCGCGGACGTCATCTTTGAGTGAGGTCCGCTGCTGCCCCCACATTCCTAAGAGGACCGTGAGAAGCCCCACTATGAAAACATATGGGATAAATGCGGGCATACCATGCCAGCGTACCGCAAACCATGTTATTATGCATGGTCCATGGTAACATCGCGCGTTTTCACTCTTACTGCTTTCACGTGTCTAACTCAAGTTTTTGCTATCGGCGTTTATTAACATGTAAGAACTTGACAAGGTGGAGGGGGGATGAGCAGTGCCAACCCTTGATGTGTCGCAGGAAAAACGTGTCCAGGCCATGATTGAAGCGAAAGTGCTTGGGCACCACAGAAACAACTTATGACGGACCGCAAACTGGGTGGTTGGTTTGCCAATGATCGGCTGAACGTCGAGACTACACAGAGGGGCCACACAGCGGGCCGCCGAAGTCCAGATGCCGGCCAAAAGTCTGGCGCTGCAGACCCACGCATCGCCCGGACACCGCGGTCCAATAAATGACGAAGAAACGCAGCAATGACGAACGCGACGCTCCCACTAGTCCACCGAGCACGAGCTCCTGGCCGGGGAGCACGAGATCCTGACCGGGGAACACGAGCTCCCGACCGAGGAACACGAGCTCCTGACCTGGGGGCACAACCCCTGACCGGGGAGCATGAGCCCCTAGCCGGGGAGCACGAGCTCCTGACCGAGGGGCACGAGCCCCTGGCCGGGGAGCACGAGCTCCTCACCGGGGAGTACGAGCTTCTGACCGGGGAACACGAGCTCCTGACCGGGGAGCACGACCCCTGGCCGGGCAGCAAGAGCTCCTGACCGGGGCGCACGACCCATGACCGCGGAGCACAAGCTCCTGACCGGGGAGCACGAGCTCCTGACCGGGGAGCACGAGCTTCTGACCTGGGAGCGCGAGCCGGACGTCTCGGAGGCGCCCAAAATAGACAACGCTGGGTCGAAAACTCACAGGCACAAGCCGAACCCCGCAAAGATTGCCGACCTGAAAACAGCCGCGGCCGGGTTCGATCGCGCTGTCTAATCGCGACGTCCCGCACGGCGTGATGCGCTGCGGCGTCTCGCCGGTGGCGTCGCCACCACACCACGACAGCTTGTCGTTGTCGCGTCAAGCCAACCAGTCCCCGCTGAGGAAGCGCATACACCCGTGGGAAACTCTGCAATCGCTGCACTGCGCCCTAAACCACAGCGTCAATGACGCAGTGTTGCAACGAGACCGGCACGCTGACCGCCGGGCCGTCGGACGACGGGATAACGCAGATTATCGATAGTAAGTTAATTCAAGGTCATTCTGTGTGGAGATCCGTCCGTTAAGAGGGCGGGATGTCTTTGGGGGTTGTTCAATAGAGATCAGCGAGCATCTGACGCCGCCCTTTGGCCGTCTCTGACAAGCATAACATGTTTGCCGGTACCAATTTGTCGCCGTTTGGTCGCGCAGAAACAGCAGCGACAAATTGACTGCAAAAAGCGAGTGTATTGTACACACGTGAGCCCACACAATGCACCGCACCGGCCCAGCCTAGAGAAGATTGGAGCGGTGTTATTCGGGTCGCTTCCCACTCCCTCTCCTGCTCAAAACGGGCCGTAATCCCGGAAGCCATTGCGCCACCACGCCGCCTTGAGCCCTAAAAAGACCGTCACAAACAAGGGCTGATACGACATTGGAGCGATATCGCAACAAAACAGGTTTGCACGCTGCTGTGTGGCAGCCTGGGAAACAGTCACCACAGACAAACGTTCAATACTTCATTTTTCATTTCATATTTATTTGTTTTTAGGTTAAACCACTTTTGAAGCACGGGATCGAGTCATTTTCAGCGGCCGTGTGTACGCTGTCAGAGTAAGGTGGCCTGCGCCGTATCGCGCATGTAACCCAGAGTGCCAGCGGCGAATGACCACCCACCCGGTGCGGCGCCCACCCATGTATAACGCTCAGCTCATGACAGCACCCTCACAAAGTGATACCGAACCAATGTGGTCTTTGACTGACGTGAGAAAACCTACATTCTTGGCCGCTTACAATTTAAGATAACAAAACTCGAACCCCACTCAGAGAGGAAAAGGTTAGACTACCTGAAAGACGTCAAATGGATATGACATCTACGATAATGAAGACGTCTGGAAAAGCTGCGCGGTCTCTCTTCCAGTCTTGCAGCGGCCGCACGTTTTCTGTATTTGCCAAACTCTGGCGCCATCCCCAAATCATCATCAGCAGGAGCCTTCGTGGCACATATTATCCATGTCTGGAAACCAGTTCTTAGACTGATCTACGGGCTTTCAACTACACTTATTTCCTACTTCCCGTCGTCCAGCAGACTGAAGTGCTGACTGCAGCGAAGTAATGTTTTATCCGTAATTCCACTTCAGTCAACATTTCAGAGAATTTCAGGGGAGCAAAACAGAACGGTCGGTGAGATTAAACAGCCATGGCTCAGTTTATGAACTGGTCGTTGGGCACGAAACGTGACGCGAGCAGTCGCCGGACCGCGCGGACCGGCGCCGTGACCCGCCCCAGTGACGTCACCACCCCAGGCGGGGTCACGTGACTGACCTTGGCGGCGCCGATGTGCTGGCGGCGGAACGTATCCAGCGCGCCAATGATCTGCTTGTAGCCGTGGTCCAGCTGCGGCACGCAGGATACAAACTGTCAGAGACAGCGGCAGGACAAGACAGACTGTCGCAGGCGGGTCGAGGATACGGGGACACACTGCACATCGGGGAATAGCACAAGGGGACTCACCGCAGCGGAGAGCGGATACACGGGCACAGGCAGCGGACAGACCAGGTGAGGACACCGACCGGCGCCCTGGACGGACGCGATTCAGGCACACGCTGGGACGCGGTTCCGGCTCAGACAAACCCGGCAGCTGCGGCCCACGTGGGTGATGACAGGCTCAGACAAACCCGGCAACTGCGGCCCTTGCGGGCGGCGACAGACTCAGACAAACCCGGCAGCTGCGGCCCTCGCGGGTGATGACAGACTCAGACAAACGCAGCAGCAGCGGCCCCCACAGGAGATGACAGACTCAGATAAACCCAGCAGCTGCAGCCTACACTTGTGGCAACAGACTCAGCCTCCATCTCGGCGGAAGAAAGCAACCGGTGCTCCACGCGTGATTAGCGGAAAGGCACGTCACCAATGCATAACCAAATGTCCCGGTGGCCATCCCAGAGCGCAGCCCTGCTCAGTGATTCTGGGAAGGTTCGATGGGACAGGGTGCCACGACCACAGCTAAAGCGATTCAGGCCCCTGTCAAGATTGCTAGCGTGAACATTTTGGAAAAGTTTTGTTTTAGTTTTCAATGCGAACACTTATAACGGCGCCGTTTGGTTTAAAGGGAATGTTTCACATTTCACGACACTGAAGTAAGCATCAGATATCATGAAACAAGCTCACTTATAACTATTCGTATACTTTTTAAGTGAGAAGGACCGCTCTTGACAGCACAATTCTCTGTTGAGTAAATATGCTCCTCATTGCGCCACGGTTTGATTATGTCATCGTGCGTCACACAACATTGATCGAGAGCCGATTAACGGCCATTTAACGGCCATTATCTGGAAATCGAGCTCACGAACGCCAGATATGAACGCCTCGACAGCAATATTCTTTTTTACCTTGACCGCCGCATCGCTTGTGGAATGACAGGGTTTGAACGACAGTATTGTCACGTCATGAATGCCAAGGTGACTTTGAAATACTCTCCCCGATATACATTTCCCCATCTTTCGCGGGCGCATAGCTCAGAAACTAGAGGGGCTCGGATCTTCAGAAAAGCAGGATTGTGAACAACACCAAAAGGTCTTCAAGATGGTTGTTTCGATTAAAAAAACAAATATTTCCACATAAATGTGGAACACCCCTTTACTTGCCACTACCAACTGGCATGTATACGGTCGTCTGAGCACACGGTGCGTGTCCGATCGTCTGAGCACATGGTGCGTGTACGATCGTCTGAGCACACGGTGCGTGTTCGATCGTCTGAGCACACGGTGCGTGTACGATCGTCTGAGCACACGGTGCGTGTTCGATTGTCTGAGCACACGGTGCGTGTTCAATCGTCTGAGCACACGGTGCGTGTACGATCGTCTGAGCACACGGTGCGTGTAAAATCGTCTGAGCACACGGTGCGTGTCCGATCGTCTGAGCACACGGTGCGTGTTCGATCGTCTGAGCACACGGTGCGTGTCCGATCGTCTGAGCACACGGTGCGTGTTCGATCGTCTGAGCACATGGTGCGTGTCCGATCGTCTGAGCACACGGTGCGTGTCCGATCGTCTGAGCACATGGTGCGTGTTCGATCGTCTGAGCACACGGTGCGTGTCCGATCGTCTGAGCACACGGTGCGTGTTCGATCGTCTGAGCACACGATGCGTGTTCGATCGTCTGAGCACACGGTGCGTGTTCGGCAAGCTGAACACAATTCTTCCAACCACGTGCAGGCAAAAGACAATGCGGGCATGCCGAAACCAAGCCATGAACTTCCAAACTGGGCAACGGTATCGACAAATCTCCGGCAAAGATCTTCAAGGAGCGTGAAGAGGTTTAGTACATCCAAAAGTCCAGCAAGAGGCACTGAACTGGCAGTCAGACTCTACTCGACCGGAAAAGTCCGTAAATAAAACATCAAAGAACAATCACCAACGCCTGAAAAGACACTAAACGTAACAAACTGGCTGATACGTACAACTTCTTTTCACCGGCACCACCACTTTACCGGAAAACACTAATAGATGCATGCAATGAAGGCCTTGAGCTCCTGTCTTTTCAGCGGTCTTGTGCTGCCTGAAAACGACCTTCAGTATACCAGGCGACACTGATTAAACGACGTTATCAAGCAGCTTTGGTTATATTTACAAAAGTCAAACCGAAGCATTTTAAGATTGCCAAAGCTGCACTAGATAAGCGTCGCTTAACCAATAGGTATTGGTACACCGGATGGCAGCGCATTGTCAGCATAAGAGCTCCCAACTACAAAACGGCAGCATGACAGTCTACCCCCCCCCCCGCGCACCACAAAAACGGCGAGCCTGGCACCCGGTACGAAAAAGGGTAGGACGGAACAGGTTGAATGAATTCATACAGATTAGCGATGGTGCCACCACTTTACAGGAAAACAAGCAACATTTACATCTAACCAGGCGCCTGTATTAGATAATGGTGGTCCGGGGTCATGTCCCGATTCCCCAAATACGCCATGGATATGCTCATGCCCTGCCGTAACGTGGCTTGTGACCGTTAACTGGTCCTTGAACCTCTCCCCGTTGGGCAGGTTCAAATCGCCCCCCTCCTGTTTTTCCCACGGAGCGGAAAAATGACGAGCGGTAGTGCGCCACTATCCTTGGAATGACATCTAATTTTATTTCCTCAAATTTTGAAACTAATCTCGACGTCACGTCGAGTCTGGTCACGGAGATATGGGGTTATTCTGTGAGGCTTGTACCAGTAAGCGGACGCTTCTCTCACCGTTACGGGTGTGTAGTGCACAGATATGGCAATTGCGATGGGATTAATCAAGATACGGCGTTTCCCACTACACACACATCAATCTTAAAAGCCAGTGGCATTGTCCGTGCAATCATTGACCACTTTGAGTGGTATGAGAAGTCTGGGAGGAAACCGCTTGCCAATGTTATTTGATGCAAGGAAACACAGAGCGAGGCTTTTAAGGCAGGTCTCATCGCCATGGCGCTGCATTGCGTTGTTTTAGCAAAAGGTTAAGAACGGCTGATTCTTAAAGACTTTTCATGACCCCTTAAGGTCATATTCATGACCTGGCAAGTCGCCCACGAGCAAAAAACACATTCTAGATACAACTAGAAAGTTCAAACGACAAGAAGTATGCCTTTCTTTACCTATCATCTTATCTTCCTTACTTTTTAAAAAGCATGGGGCAGATTTGCCCCTCCCCTCTACTGGTGGGGCACGGGCAAGGAATCCCCAGTAGGGCGTGGGTTACTAACCATCAGCCCACTGGCTGCTGGGGACGCTTCGCCAGCCGGCCGACGGCTGGACTACTCACCACATGCTGCCGCTCGTCCTCGACCAGGTTGATGAGTCGGCCGAACTCCCTCAGCGAGCCCGAGATGACGATCTCGTCGTCCGTCTGGGCGCCGCCGATGTAGCTGAAGCGGAACTTCTCCAGACTGGCTGCAAACGTCCTCTGACAGCGTGACAGCTCTGCCGGGCGGGACAGACATGGGCGTCAGCGACCTGGCTGCGGCTCCAGCGCCAGCCTCCTGCCCGCAGAACAGCGCCGACGACAACGACTTTTCGTAATTGGCTTCGGCAGATAACGCAAATCAAATTGTGCTTGACCTGGAGGATAGACGTTTGGCATTAACGACGCGGCCGAGAATCACGTCTTTAACAGCAAGCACAAATGTGAAAATAACGCAAATGTCACATAACGGTGACGTGTTAGCATAAGTTTGGTTTCACAACCAAGCTTTCACTGCTTGCTTTGAACTCCGACGCATCAAGTTTAAACCGGTGGAGGCCGAGAGTTTACATTTTCGGTGTTTTCTCGTTTTCATGGTCACTGCCCGAATGTCTTACAAATGTCTGTAGGCTTTGTAAGGAATTTCGGTAAACAACAGGATGTTGTAGCGCAATGTATGTGGAGAACGTCAGGTATTTGCGCAGCATGACGCCTTGCATACGAACAGGCGTATCATCGGCTATTTCCAGCATTACCCACACCAGAAATGATCCGCACTGGAGTGAGGTGGCACGCGGCGGGTGGCTTCCAGGAAAACAACAGCCATTGTCCCACATCGTTGCACGCTCCGACATACGAGGAAAACCGACACCGCTCGACAATCTCATCGCTCACGGCATCGGTAAAATCTTTAGAGACGGCAGAAAACTGAAAGCGTGGGTCGCCATCTGCATCGCGATCACCGCGACGAAGACGACCCGGTGAGGTCATTGACACTAACCACGGCGGCCCGGCGCATTAGCCCAATTCATCCGGTGCAACAGTAATGGTACAGTCGACAAGCCAGCTGTGTCCTTGGCGGGCGGTTTCGTCGGCGGCTGACTCATACGGTCGCCGCTGTGAGTGCTGCCGCAGAGCCGACCGCCCGCCGCCCGGGAGGGGCGGGGACAGGCTGGCGAGGCGTGCGCACTGGGCGCCACAGCTGCACCTCCCGGACCCGGCCGCGCCGCGCGCCGAGCGGCCGGCGGCAGCGCGCGCGCCAGCCCATAGCACGGTGCTGAGCCCGGCACTGACGCGGCACTGACATAGCACTGACGCGACACTGGCATGGCACCGATGCCGCGCTGAGCCCGTCAAAAATATGGAACTGAGGCAGCCACAGACATGCCCCTCCACTTCTGCCAGTCTGCCTTCAGTGGCTTAGACTTGGAAGTGATACTGGGTGGTACTGTAACAAATTCCCGAAAAAACTCAATAGTGACAAGTCTTAAAATCGGCATGACAGCACAATTGTGTTCACAACATGAATCACATAAAAAATTGGGATAGGGGGCACTAATAAGGGCAAAATGACTGGGAAAGATCAATGCATCACCTGAAAGGAATGACTATTCCACTGAAGCAGAGCCCAGTCCAGTGAAGTTATGAGTGATGTGTAGGCAGATCAAAGCAATCCACTCAAACACAGAATTGGCATGTGCTCTGTAAATGCAGGTTGCCTATGGGCAAGATGCTTTGATGAGATGTGTGGGAAGGTATATTAATTCATTTTGTTAGTTTTCATTAATCTTGTCATATTCATGCACTTAGCAATGAGAAGCACCCACAAAAATGCCATACTACATTCACTTAAGCTAATACTTTACATATGAAAAACTTGGACCAGTGCCTGTCTTGCTAGGGTCCAATGATTACTTATGGTGAAGAAGCCCCCACTTTTTGTTGTAGTCTTTACACATACATTAGGGTATCCAAGGGCTTACCTGTGAACCAAACTGTGAAATCCCACGAGCATTTATACAATTGGCAATGAGTACATACCAAGGGTGCAAAATTCATAGCAGGGATCCAATCTGCAAAAATCCATCTACTGCGCCAAATACTTTTGACATATTGACTGACCTTTATGCATATACATGCCAAACTCCTGGCAGGTCATACTGCAATGATTTTTTGGCATTTTGTATGAAAATGGTCACAGCTCATTTTTGCTAGATATTAACTTTGCAGCATTACAATGACACTTGCTAACCCCAGTATGTTCCTCATAACATATACCTTTAGCAGTTTGGCTAGGGAAGCACATCAATGATTTGCTTGGCAGTGCAACTTACGTTTGGTGGCATCTAGAAGGTCCTTAATATCCTTTGTGAGTACTTTTATTGATGCACTTGTATTCTCCAACTCCTTTTCATATACATGGAGCTTTTCACGAAAGTATGGACTATCCAAAAGACATTCTGTGGGCTCCAGTGGGAGCAGGCCGCTTCGTCCCATAATCTTGGAAAGTGTTAAGGAGAACTATGAGTGACTGGCGTTACCCATGTGCAGCATTTCTTGCAAGACTGACATTTTCCACCAGGAATATGATAAAAGATGTATGCAATGATGATCCCTCAAATGCATGTTATGGCTGCTAAATTTATCTTCTCATTTGTTACAGCTGTTAAACTATCCAAAGCAACACTGCATCATCTTCTGGTGTTTCAGGAGAGCAAATATTCCATATGCTTTCTTTCCAAAGTCTTGAGGATCACGACCAGCACAGATCCACGCACAGTCAAACTGGCAATTGTCTTCATGCAAATTAATCTCGATTCCCACTTCGACCAAACATCGCAAACGCACACACTCTCACGGCCACTGCAGCTGCACACACGTGCCCACGCTGCACACTACGCATGATATCGCGCGCCCACTGCTCGACGCCCACACTGACATGCGACAAGCAACAAGAGCCTCAATGGCGCTTATGAAACGGCTGCGCCAGTTTGCACGAACTGCTAGAGGTAAACAAAGCCACCTAGTAGAAAAGCTAAAGACCGCGTGTGAGTCAATCAAGCTCAGGAAAAGAAGTTGTTAGGATTTTTGCCTCTAAAGAAAGAGGAAATTAAACACTGATTCTTGACTTTTTAAACTATAAAACAATGAAATACGAGGCAATTGTGTCAAACCTTTTTATGAATCCGGCTTTAGTTTTAGTGCATCTATTTTATCCTGGACGGCAATAAAAAGAAAAAATTGTAGATACAGACAAAAGCCAAACAAACTAATGCAAGTTAAACAATTTCTAAGAATATATTTGGCTGAATATATTTGAGTGACATATTTGAAAAGGGAAACAATTTTCTTTTCATTATTGAAATATATCGCTGGTATAAAATATTGAGTCATCACCTGGCAACGCCCTTTGAGTGCGCGCGTCCGTCCTTGTGAGGAGGGGAGTTACGCCGGAGAGGTAACGAGGGCTTATTCATTATTCTGTGAAATGGCTAGGCGCTTTTAATTCTTGTTTTATACGGTATTTACCTCTTGGATAGGTGTGATTGGTGATTTTCGTGCTGGCTTAGTCGCAAATGGCGGCTGTTGTCAGCGCTGTGCTCGCCGCATTTGTCGCAACGTGGTTCGCGCGTGGGTGGTGCGTGCATTGTTTTATGTTGGCAGTCTGGATGATGTATAACAGTACACTAGCTTGTATGGTGAAACTCAAACACAGGCCCAATGAATTTCAAGGAATGACTGATTTTGTTCGATCCTAATGTACATATGGTTTAATTTTGTTTGGAAGACAATTCAATGTTTGGCTGTGTTCACTTAATTCTGGGCTGTACATTTTCAAGCTTTGTTGCAATTTATGGTTATGATATGGTTATAGAGTTGTAGGAAGGATACTATAGGCATTTTGTGATGAGGATATCATATGCTAGTTCTGGATTGGGCACTGATATTTATGATAGGAGTCAGTCAGTCAGTGTGATAGGAGTCCCCAGACAGCTAGCTGTGCCATGAACATATTAACCTACAGTTTGTACTACAAGCTGTGCAGCACTATTTGTTGCCAATGCCTTGTTTTCCTATGACAAATAATGACTGTGCTTACCACTGCAATCAACCACCTGGGGTAATGAGCATGGTCAGGACCTGTCAAGTTGGTGTAATTTATTGAAGTATATGTCGAAAAGCAGGTGGCAACTAAGTATGGGACATGTGCACCACCCAAAACATATAGTAATACTACTGTTATTATGTATAAACTCAAGAAATTGCTAAATTAGATGAATGGTAGCAATTCACACACTTCAAAATGTTGTATAAGAATCACTGAAATGCTGCCAGGGATATATACCCAGACCTACTTCTGTGATATGCCAGCTGTTAATAGATCCCTTAATAAGTATGTCCATCAGTCCATTAGTTGCCATTACATCCTTGCTCTCATTTGCTGTCATAATTTCATGTTGAGCATAATGGGAGGAGATAAAGGCTGCTGATCATGAAGTATTATAGATCATATATTATCCTGCACAAGGTGGATGCAGGTGGATTTTCAGGGCTCAGGTGCTACCTAGACTTGTGGACAGGGGCTGCAAACCTCTGTCTAAAAACTAAGATGCATTGGGTTCTGAATTTTGTTGTGCTGGATCAATGTAGCAGGATGTTAACCATATGGCAGCTATCAGGGAATCATGGGAAAGCCTGTAAAAACATTATTCAGATTTTGCATACATAAAAGATGTGATCTGTGTTTTGTGTGGCTCATGATCTGCTTTGTATTTAGGTAGTGTATTTCTGTTATGTCAATGCAATCTGCACCCAGCAATTAATAGCTCGTTTTCTGGTTTACCTTTTCATATGCACCAGTGAAATACTTCAAAGTGGATTATTTTCTTAGACTAGAGTGACTTACCATAAGTTTGGAACCTGTCACCATTCATTATCACAGTTGAATATACCCAAATCTTTGAATGAGACTGCAACTCAATGAATACTGGTGAATTCTGTATTTTTTCACTTGTGTCTGTTAAGAATGATTAGCATAAATTGTGTATTAACATGTTACAATAAAGTTTTGTTAACCCATATATATTTTTCAAGTGAGTGATTTTGCTTCCATATATAATTATATTTATACTGGTATATAGATGTGCATACATATATCATAACATTGATGCATACATACACACCCCTACCCTTTAATGCCTGGACATTTGTGCATTCATCCTGGCCAACCAACTGCATGACAGTGGGTACACTACAATTAACTTGCCAGAAGTGCCTCTATTGTGGTTGTTAATCTAGTGACTTTTATGACAATTTTCCATCAGTCATAGTGTTGAGACGCTTTTATTCCTGGAAAACATTGTGATGAGATGAGTCAGTCCAAAAGTTTATCAAATAGTATTGTGCATAGCATGCTTCACATGTTGCTGAAACACTGGTAGATACCAGAAAAGGAAAGTTGTTGTTTACAAATTTGACACAGTGCAGCTACTTCATTTTTTCTTTAATGCCTTGTGAGGATGTATGCTGATTACATAGCCTGAGGTGTATTGCTGTGATACCATGGCTCTTGCAGTCACTGCCAAGTATGTAAATGTGGAGATGACTGGTTATGCCAGGTTTGTAGAGTATCAGTGACCATTGCCAATTAGCAGTTTGTCCTCATGCTCATTTTGCACATCTGGATGAGTGTGCAGCACAGGCATTGCCAGGATGGCATGGAAGATGAGAAAGGTCAGGAAATTATGCAAGCATTAAGGTTTTGTTGCTGAACATTGTGTGGGAGAGGGCAGCATATCATGGTGAAGCCTGTCTTTTGAATGGGATGAATGGAGCTCTGCAAATTTGGCATGATATGTTGGATGGTTGACCTGAAAGCTAAAGGGCACTTCACGTGAGGAACTTAGTGATGAGAGCAATATTTTTTATTTTTAGAGTTTGATCCAAACCCCTTGCATGGATGGATTTTTGGGATCAGTACTCACGCTAAGCAATGCTTGTGTGAGATCTGACCCCCACCATCCGATCGCGCAAGTTCCAGACAACGGCAGAATTTAGTGGTGAAAGCGGCAGAATTTAGTGGTGAAAGCTTAATGTGCCGCAATGCTCGGCACGGTCCGTCCTGCCCTCTGACGTCAACTGACCTTTAGCGCGACCGCTGCCATCGGCCACAGGCCATACCTGCCAAGGGCAAATAGCGAGCGCCCTAAAGCGACTTGAACCCACCCTGCCAGGGGTGGGTGCATCGGAAGGCAGGCGCTCTAACCAACTGAGCCACCGGGATGGACAAAGATTTTTATTGTTCAAAAAGGCAACATGCTCTGCTTCTAGGAAATAGATCAAATTTTACATCATTGCATGAATGGGTTGATTGCTCAATGACCTTGATGATCTGTGCCCTGTACTGCAAAAATAGGTATGATCACCTTGAAAATTCCATATTTTTCTATGGGTCACCATAGGGATATAGTCAGGGGGCAAGGCAAAGGGACCATGTCACACCTGTAGTCATTTTAAGAGTTCAATACTAGATCTAGAGATTAATGGGAATTTGGTTCACATGCACAGGAGTTTGGACAAAATTTGGCTATGCCACCCCCTCTGATGAGTATTTTGGCCATACTCAGTGGATTTAAGGTGAGCATATCCTTGCCCACTTCACATGGCTGGCTTGTGTTCTGTCATGACACTAGCAGATGCCACTGCTAGTCGAAGATATTGCTGGCAGGGTGGGCTGCTTTGCTCATGACACGTGCCCAGCTTGTGGCGCGACTAGCCTGACGATGCGCGGCCTGGCCGCCAGTGCTCCGTCCATTCCGCCAGCCAGCTGAAAGCAGCATGCCCAAGGAGCCGAAGCCGGCCGAGGCAATGGAGGAGGAGGAGGAGCTGGAGGATGAGGAGCCCCAGGACGCCGGTGATCCGGCAGCCCAGCTGATGTGCAACCCGCAAGTGCTGGCCGCCCTGCAGGGCCGACTGGACGGCATGGTCGGCTCACCCTCCGGCTACATCGAGGTCAGACCCATGAGCCAGTGGGTGTGAGCTGTGTTTGTGCTCTGTGTGTCCCCCAGGCAGCCAGCTGATACGCCGACCTGGCCGGTCATTGTATCAGATAGCAACTGGGGAATTCAGATGTTGGTCTAGGTCATTGAGAGCTATGTTTGTCATATGGCAGTGCAGTCCTTTTTCCAATTGATCAGGTCTGTGAGGTCAGCTCTCTTTGTGATTGCTGTCCTTTTCATGTTTATTGCCCCAGTTGCTCTGGGTACAGTGCCAGATGTCGGGCCACTACCCGGCGTGCAGCTTTACTGTCTTGTTTGTTTCATCAAAGATCACCATTTGGGTACTGCTGAAGAGGGGTTCAGACTAATGTAGGGCTGCCTTTATATGGCATGCATGCCACATATTATCACAGGCCCCATTGCATGCCAAGACATTCCTGTGGCATGCCGTGAGCAGTTCCAGATCACGCACCGGTTACAGTACGCTCCACCGTCTCTTTTCAGTCGCTGCCGAAGGTGGTAAAACGGCGCATCAAGGCGCTTAAGAACATACAGCTGAAGGCGACGCATACCGAGGCCGAGTTCTACCGGGAGGTGCACGCCCTCGAGTGCAAGTACCACAAGCTCTACACACCACTCTATGACCAGGTGAGCCGCGTGCGGACGGCACAGCGAAGCGGGGGCTGTGCCGTGGGAACGTGGGATCTGCGGTGACGCTATGTGCTGGAGGCCACTTCCACGATTCCCAGGATTGCGAGGTGCTGCCTCCAATGAGAGACGCCTGCGCTCGACATTGCCTAGTGGTGCCCTCTCAGGGAATGCTTCCATTCTGTGTCACCAGGGCTGTGTATTGGTGGGCAGCCATCTTGGAGTGATCAGCTCCCATTTGTGCATCAGGTGCTGTTCCTGGGTTATTGCTGTGTGGCTGATGTGGCTGATGGGTTTGTCAGATGACGACTTCGCCCTTATGTTAATAACAGTCTGGAAAAGTATGGCTCATCAAGCAGCAAGTGACTAAAAGTAATCTGTTGGGTTATAATGATATTGGACTTCTCCTTGTGCATTGTGCTAGCAGGCCATATGTATCGGGTATACATTGCAACATGAACTTAGTACTTTTGTAGTGGCGCGTTAAAATTTACGCCCCATATCGGGAGTAGTCGGGAGGGGCGCGAGGGGCGATGGATCAAAATCACGACATCTGACATCTGGTGATTACTATATAATTTCGAAATCATGGCATCAGCACATCTGACATGTGTGCATTCATTTTTGGAGTGATGAACACTTTTCCATCATTTTCCTTTACTTCCAGTGCTGGCGATTGTTTTCCATCGCCCACTTCCGCGATATTGCTTTGTTACCGTTGCACGTGCCGCCGTCTAAAATGACTGATAACAACCCCGCCCCTTGATTCCCTCCCTAACCCGTTCAGCATTGTCTGATGCCTGTTGTCTCCCAAGGTATCCCCGGGTGCTGCCATCTTGCGGTGAATGCTTCCATAATGTATTGCCGACGGGTTCGAGAGTCCGATGCCATCTTGCGGTGGCCGTCTGCGCCCGTGTGTCCCCCAGCTAGCCCCGGCGAGGGCGACACGTCCACTATCGTGTACAGACCTCTGGCAGCGGCCTTGTGTTCCTGAGTATCACCAATAGATGTCAGCCCGTTCGCTGCAAGTCTCGTGCTGTCCCGTGCGTCCCAGAGATGTGACGCGCCCCGGTTGTTCCTCAGCGCACGCAGGTGATCTCCGGACAGTACGAGCCGACGGACGCCGAGTGCGAGTTCACGCTGGACGATGACATCAGCGAGGACATGAAGGACAAGGCACAGATCGACGAGGCGCCGCCCAAACCGCCCGCCGACATGGACGAGAACACCAAGGTCGGTGGTGGCGGACACGCTGGCGACAGTTGAAGGGCCGGCCCCCTGGCAGGTGTCGCCCGCCTCATGCGTCGGGGTGCTGGGTGCCGAATGCGGTCACGGTGGACCGCCACCGTCGCGGGCAGGGCATGCTGAGGGGCTACAAAGTGGGAGAACCGCGGCGTGATGAGCTGTGGTTGCTTGCTTTAGCGTCGTGACGCACGTCGACGCCGCTTGGCAACGCTCTGGCAGCCGCGCCATTTCCGTCGGATCGGTGCAGCTGTTACGCACGCCGCGATGCCGGGCGTGAAACACACACTCAACACCTGTGCAGCTGGCGCGCGTCGCCGCCGCGCGCGACTCCCCAGCTATTCGTGTCCGATGGCCGGACGTCGGCGGCGCCGTGCCGCGCGTGCCGTGACCGGCGTCAGCTGTGCTTCTGACGTCACCGGGCGGGCGGCGGCGCGGCGCGGCGCGCGGCCGCCGTCAGCGGCGGAGCGATGGCCGGCGCGGCTGCCAAGGCCAGGCTGGCCGACGGCCGAGCGGCCCGGCGAAATTTAGCACCGGCGGCCCGTTTGCGGACGGACGTGCGGGCGGCACCGGCGGCCGGCCGGCGGGGGGCGGCAGGGTCCGGGACGGGGGAGCGGCGGCCGGCCCAGTGGCCCGGCTGGCCAGGCCTGGTGACTTGACGACGCGGCGTGTCCGTCTCACAGTCGAGGAGACATGTGACGGATATCGGCGCCGCCCGCCCTTTGATCAGGTTGCGCCGTTGGGGCTGTGCTACGCAATCAGTCGTCACGGCTGTATCGCCATGGGGGGAAGGGAGGGTACCGCGGCGAACCGAACGCGGTAACTGTTGTGGTAGATGGTAGTGCAGTGGCAGCTTAGCCACTGCCTACCCTCTGCTAATCAGGCTGCTAGAGGAATGATCACGCGATCTGTCGTTAGAAGTCTCGAATGCCCAAGCGGGTTCCAGGCTCTTCGTTCTTTAGATTAACGAAGCTCTGCGTTTGTACACTTAAACAAGAATCCTGTGCAACTAATGCGTTAGGGCTATTATGATAATGCTGCATGCGGCCAGTAGCCACCTGAAGGGATTCAGAGCGTGATCGCTGATGTCGCGTCCAGCTTTGCGCGCTGCAGCCCACCGCCGGCGGTTGTCCCGGACGCACGGAGCCAAGCCGCTAAGTCTGCTGGACTGGACAATGTGGAATAACACACTAATGCATCATAAGCTCGCGCGCCGTGCATGATCAAAGCAGCTTGGTCCTTTGGTCGGTAGCTGCTAAAAGCGGTCCGTCTGAAGAAAACGGGTCGTAGATGTTGTGTGATCAGAGTCGATTAGGGAAATTGAAATTGCCGAAGTTCCACGACAGTTGCAGTTTAAAATAGAGAGTATGACATCGATGACTAATCTGAGGATATTTGCCTTCGCGCGCCGAGTGGGATGCGCCCAATGTAGACGCGTACGTTTGCAGTAGTGTCGACCGTAAACGACCTTTATCAGTTACGAGGTCATGGAAAAAGACGCTGAACTACGAGCCCCTCGAGTCGCATTATTTGGCCCGGCTGACATGCAAAGGTCAACAGCTGATCACGGGCCCAAAGGTTAGCCAGGTCGCTGCGCCGCACGGTACGCCGCACGCACGGCATCTGCGGTCCTGTATAGCTCAAGGGGTGCTTACGAAATCAACCAATTTAGGGAGTGGGCCCAACGTGGCTGAGAGTTCAGGGTGCACGCACTGCTTTGCTAGTGCCTTGAAACCATAGCTACGTAAGCAGGTCTCGACATTTGTCTCCATAGAGGTGGCCCGACACGCTGATGAGTGTTATTGGTAGCGTGCGGCTCGTACGTATTCATACATTTAGGCAGTCGGTAGTTCGTCGAGTGTGTTGGCTGGCATTTGATCTTGTCGCTGCGTTGCTGACGGACCCGTGGGCCTGCCGCAGGGCATCCCCGAGTTCTGGCTGACTGTCTGCAAGAACGTGGACCTGCTGGCCGAGATGATCCAGGAGTACGACGAGCCCATCCTCAAGCACCTCACCGACATCAAGGTGGCCTTCCGGGAGAAGGACCCCGAGGTGAGGACGCCGCTTTGCTCGGCGCCGACCAGCGACAGACTGTTGGCTAAGGCAGCAGGCGCACGACGCCGGCTGGTGTCGTCAGGCTCGCTCGTTGTATTATAGGCAGGTCGTTGTGTGACGGGCGCGCCTGTCATTCTAGTCGGACTCGCGTGGGCTCTGTGCACGTGCCTTCTGACGACGCTGATGTGCATTTCAACACGAACTTGAGAACGTCAGCACTGGGAAAGAGCCGTTCCCGCATGTACGTAGGCGACCTGGCAATGTACGGTAATAGACAGGGATGGACGGTCCGTGTGACATGACTGGAATGTCGTGCTCCTTCACAGGGCTTCACATTGGAATTCCACTTCTCGCCCAACGATCACTTCACGAACGCTGTGTTAACGAAGGAGTATTTCATGAAGTGCACGCCGGACGAGAAGGACCCGTTCTCGTTCGAGGGGCCGGAGATCATCAAGTCGAAGGTCAGTGCGGCGCGGCGTCGGCGGTGTCGGAATGTGGCGGCGCGGCCCGCGCCGGGGCGGCACCGGCACCGGCACCGGCGCGCGGTGCGACGCCCGAGGTCAGCCGGGCGGCACGGCTGACGTCCGAGCCTGCCGGCCTGGCCGGGCGGTACACCTGGTGGCGGCTGGAGGGTGCGGCCTCGCCGGCACTGCGGTGTGGTCGAGAGTGGGCAGAAGCCGGCTGAAATGTCTGGTGCCGGCGCCTCGCGACCGATCAGAACCGGGCAACGTGTTCTGGTGGCGAGGACGTGCAGGAAAACGACACAAACTCCAGGTTCTGATAGTATGGCTATTATCGACGATAAGCCATTTAGGCGGGTGGTCCATTTCGTGAGCTGCAGCTTTACGGCAGACAGACTCGTTGCTAAGCAGACTCAAACTACTCAGTCGCTGACCTTTGTAAAAACTAATGCATGTTGTGAATGCATCACCGATCAGTGCACATAAAATGTGAAAGGGATGTAAAAAGTCCTGTGAGCCAATGCAGGCCAATGGGACGTCATAATAATGGCTTGAGCTACGGCTCGAGTATTTCTAGTAACCCACGTTAAGGATATTTTAGTTTTGCTGAGTGTACAAGAACTGACAGGGTTCCGGGTCATGAGGCACGTCAGAAATTGTGGACAAAATGCATAGAGAAGACACAGCGTCAAATATGTGGTAAGGTGTAATAAAAGACAGGCATGAAATGTAGGAAAACATGATGGATATGCTATTTGTATTGCTACAGGTTGACGACAGTGCTAAAGCTGGGTTCGGAGCAATCTGGTGCATTTACAAATGCCGCGCCAGGTCTCCACTACCCGGCCTGATAACGTGTTGACAGTCCTGCTTAGTGGTGATGCCTAAAAGAACATTCACTTTTCATAAAAGTTCACAAAATACATGCTCGATATTAAAACAAAGATAAATGACGTGTCCCAAACAGTTTTTTTTTAGATAACGCGACTGAGTGCAGTTCGCAGTTCAGTCCTTCCAGTGCTGCTCCTGGTTATGCCGTGTCCGAGTTCCTCGTAATGTATAAAGGAGAGCGTCAGTGTTCCAATACTTGGCCACTTGGGTGGTATGGATGTCGGTATTTTTCATGCTGTTCCACCCCGGCTTGGAACTCACTTCCTATCGCCCCTCCCCACGTTCAAAATTGGCCAATCAGCATCGAACCGAGCGACCGTCAACCTAGAATGTAAGCGTCCCAGGCTTGACAAATGGTGTAGACAGGCCAGATGTCTGGGTCCGAGGCCAAAGGGCAGCGAATTAGGGCCAACGAATTGCGCGCGGAGCCACTGGGAGAGTCAGAATTCTGGTAACATGAATTTATGTTTATATCTTGCACACCATACTGGATGAATTTCGGAACGCTGGTGAGCGTGTGTTGTCATTGATCGTGTCATTGATTATCGTGCGAAGTCCACAAAATACTTAAGATGTGACTCCTTGATTCACTTTTTGAACGGTGCATGTTTGGCACATAGCCGCTGGTCTGTATGTGGGTTGTCAGGATAATCTGCAGACCTGCCTCGTTAGCGGCACATTCATACAGTCCCACGTTTTTTTTTTCTACAGGGCTGCACGATAGACTGGAAGGCGGGCAAGAACATCACCGAGAAGACCATCAAGAAGAAGCAGAAGCACAAGGCGCGGGGAAGCACGCGCACCATCACCAAGACGGTGCAGAACGACTCTTTCTTCAACTTCTTCAACCCTCCTGCCGGTATGGTCATGCGACGCCGGGCTTCGTACGGAGCCAGACCGCGCGCGTGCTTTTGGGAGTGTTGCCCAAGTGCTGGCGACGTGGTTGCCACCGCATGGAGGGGAGGGAGTGCTTCCTGATCAGGTAGCCATACACGCAGGTAGCGAGGTTGGCTTTGCCCGATTCGGGCTCCAAAATGGTTGTTTTTCGAATGTGTTTCAAAGAGCGTATTTCCTCCACGGAGATCTCCTCCACGGAACGATCAAGTCAATGAGAGCATCGCACAGCAATATTCGTTTCAGCTCTGACTACCAGCGGTCAAAATACTTCACGCATCTGTTAAATAAAAAGTAGGTTATGGGCGCCATGTGACCAACGTAGTCTGTGCGCCCCAAAGCCCAAATGATCATCAGCGGTCCAAATATTTGTCTCTCATTTTGTGACGGATTTGCTTTTGTCATTAAGTGCACGAGGGCTACCGCGCTTAACGTCGAAACGCGTTGTTCAAATGATGATCGGTCAGTTTTTATAGAAGGCCGTCAAAAGAGCCAGCTCATGAGTGTGAAGGCTGGCTTTTGGGCGGGCTTGTCGGTCCGACCGAGCCTGCGGATGCTCAGTGGTAGCTGATGGCGATTCAGCTTGATAGTGGATGTAGCTTGGACTGCAATTATGGGATGTTGCACAAGTCCACGCAGGGCACAATGGTATGATCTGCGGACACAAACGGACATTCTGCTTCGTTATACTTCATTTTGATCGTATACATGGCTCCAAGCCTCTCAGATAGGTCCATGTCTAAGCCTGTCCGGCGATTTACAGCGGCTTCAAACATGAGTAGCGATCATATATGTATATACTTCGCTCACGTACGAAAATGCTATTCGTAGGTAACTTTTGTTGAATTTAATCAATCCTGCCGCTTATTTTACGCTTTGAGCTCTCCCAAGTGCACCTTAGTGTGATGTACAGTGCTGACTAGTACCCTGCGCTCATTGCAGTGTCTGTAAAAGCCTCCAATGTTTGCACTATGTTTGGTATCTGATGTCCACAGATGTGGGCAGGCCTCGCCAGGTATACTAAAAAAGTGATCTCCTTTATAGTGTGAGATGCTCTGCGCTCAAGATCATTGGTATCGCTGACCTCCACTGTCAGGCGGTCGCGTACCGATCGCTGTCACTTGCTTTTCTGGGATGAACCGCGTGGTGATGGGTTGACTCCAATGCCAGCTGCCCGTAGTGTGCCTCCAATCCGGAATTGGCGTTGCGGGTGTTATCTGTTTAGATTTGAGAACTATCCCCACCCGCCTGCGCACCTCCCGTCCGTATCACATGGCTGCGTGGGAGCCGTCTGCGCGCTCGAGGACTGTCTGCCGTCGTGTGCGGGCGGATGTCTCGCCTCGGCGTGTCCCGTGACGCCTCCCCAGTCTCCCACCGCCCGCCGGCCGGGTCAGCTGACACGCGCGCGTTCCGCCCCGCAGTGCCGGACGACCCGGAGGCCGAGGTGGACGAGGACGTGCAGAACCTGCTGTCGGCGGACTTCGAGATCGGCCACTATATCCGCGAGCGGATCGTGCCGCGTGCCGTGCTCTACTTCACCGGCGAGGCGCTCGAGGAGGACGACTACGACGAGGACGAGGAAGAGGAGGAGGCCAGTGAGTCGGACGAGCAGGAGTGACCGTCTGTCGCGCGCGCGTGTCCGCTCCGTGGCGTTTGTTCCTTTGTGCGTTCTGCCGGCGTGGTCGTCGTTTGGTCGCAATACAGAGTAGGGCGACGAGATGCGGGCGTGTTTGAGGAGACTCGCCGGGCGCGTGCATCGGCCGGTGGCGCGCGTGTTCTGGGCTCGTTAACGCCCGCTGCTGTGGTTGGCGCCGACGGCGTCCCGCTGCCGCACCGCTCGTGCCGCGTAACGGCCCGCGGGCGCGCTGTGCTGGTGCGGGAGTCCGGCGCCGGGCCATCAGGGCGGCCGACGCCGGCCGGGGCTGCGCTGGCCGCTGTCGTGTGCCGCCGCTGGGCGCGGCCGCGAGGGGCCACTGTAGCCCTGTCACTCACTGTTGCAGGCGAAGACGAGATGGAGGATGAGGAGGACCCCGACTTTGACCCGAAGAAGGCAAAGGCGCCAAAGGGAGGCAAGGGGAAGGGGGATCCTCAGGAGTGCAAGCAGCAGTAGCCGTGCCGAGCGCTAACCTTCTGCGAGTCTCTGGCCCCATCCGCTTTGATCTGCCGCCCATGTACTGATCTGTGAACTGCACTGACACGATATTCGCTGCTGCTACCAAGTCGACATTGAATAAAGGTGAATTCTACTTATTGGTGTCAGCTAGTTTTGTTGCGCAAGGCTGTGCTTGTGGGATCTATTGAGAAAAGCAGGATGTTGGAATGTTTGTTGTGACGTGGGCTGACCCCGTTGCCAGGATATTGCGTCAAGTGAGACCACCCGACGCTTTAAACGGGTCACTTGCGGCGCACAGCTCCGTGGCTCTGTGTTCGCCGTTCCGTAACACGAAACATGTTCAGGTGGTCAGCCAATGGCCTGTTTTACATGCGTGACTCGACGCGGGTTTCATTCAGTGCCCCTCACCTGCTGGATTCGGTCGGCCTTGCAGAACACACACCGGCCTTTTATGCGCTCGTTTCCGGCTCAGAACGGGTACATATATGACTGGGCGTGTTGATAGGCTGGAAGCTCGACGTGCTAATTTACGTGCGCTGTGGAGCTTGTGGTCGTGTTGGTGGATTAATCGGAAAGTGCGGACCTGTTGACTATTTTCGATGCCTGCAAGGTTAACAAGGACAGCTTGGCGTCGAGAGAGATGCAATGGCTGGCTGGTTACTGGCCAAAGTGTGATGTCATTGGGACTTCACGACGTAACCAGCTGCTAGGGCTATATGGCGTCGTCCGCCTGTCACCTTGGCAGGGAGGTCGGTTACTGCGCGGGATCGAACCCCGTGCGTCTCGTTTCCCGGAGAGGCAGTGGTTAACTCAGATGCGTTAATCATTAAGCTATCAGCACTTACTGGCATGTGCAGGGACGGGACGTGACTTGCTGAGTGTAATTTGGATATGAACAATAGCTTCCCCCCCCCCCCCCCTCCTCCCCCCGACACTTATTCGCTTAGCGGCTATGGGCGTTGCAGCTGCGCGCATTGGTGGCATCACGGGCGTCGTCCTGCCTTTCGCCTGGCCTGGACTTCACGCGGGTTTTGATCTCGGTGGCTTGTCGCCATGCATGCGGTAGCGTTAGGAAGCCGTCTGCCCGAGCGGTCGGGATGAGACCCCCGTGGATGGGAAGGCTGCGAGTAAACCGTCCCCAGGTCCTGCGTCGCCGCCGCCCTCGAGTCCGGTGGGAACATCAGCGGGTGGCCAGACGCGGGCTGAGTTGTCTGCCGGTACTGCGGTTGCGGCACCGCGTCCGTGCCGGTGTTGGTCGCCGCGCGTCAGCCCCGCCGGGGCGAAAGGACGCCTCGTCCGGCACTGCGCGCACCCAGCTCGCCCTTACATGATTTTCGTGGAGATGGATGTCATCAGTGCGTCTGTGGGGCGTGTTGCCTGACAGACAACTACAGACGTCGCTTCTTCCAAAACGCGGCGGCTCTTGTGGCAACCTGTGGTCGTGCGTTCAGCGGGATGGCAGAAGCAACGTTGCATATTTTTGCGATGGGGCGCGACTATGGTCCGTTGGAATCCATCAAAGATTGTTCCACTATAAACGCCACCTGGCGGCGAAACCAACCGGCTTCACGGAGCGAAACTTTGACAGCACGCTTATGATGCCAGTGAAATTAGCGGTATGGGCAGCGACGGGTCACGAATTCGATTAAATTGCGTCATTGAATGTTGCTGTCAAATTGCTGTCAGATGATCAATTATGTCACGAGAACCGAAAATGACGTATGCTTTGCAGCATCATGTGGCCTTCACGGTCAAATTCGGATGCATATGGTGGTGGACTCAATATTACCCTAAAAAAACACCGGCCAATTTCAACTTTCAAACATCAGGATATTTGCCAGCGCAAGAACTAGCGTCCGTCACACAATCCTGACCTTTTAAGGTCATCACTCAAGACCTAATTCAGGGTCAGATGACTGGGAACTTATCACCTAAAGGCCACCGGCTGGATCCCATCTTTTGAGGCACCAGAATACTCACCAGCGCAAGATCCAGCGTCCCTCAAAGGTCCTCAAATTCAAGAACACCGTTCGAGGTCAAATTCGCGGCAAAAAAGGGAACTCCATATTATCACCAAATTACCGGCAGATTTCGCATTTTCAAGGATCAGAATATTCACCACTGAGGAAAGTAGCGTCCCTCAAAAGTCCCGCAAAACTGGAGATGACCTTACTAGGCCAAATTCAGCCTGAAAGCCCGACATTTTTCTTGAAGGGTGACCTTGAGAGGTCAACATTTTGAGGGACTTGGGTTCATGCACTAGTGACTATTTTGATACTTAAGAATTTGAAATCAGCCGGTAATTTCTCGGCGATACTCTTTTGTTTATTTCGGGCCTGAGCAGTCCACAGGCAAACGCCTAATCGTGGAAACGGACACAAACACACACACAAACACACACGCGCACGCACGTACGCAGGCAGGCAGGCAGGTGTAGCCGGGCCGAACACTAATGCTAGGTGAGCGCAGTCAAGCCTGTGATGGTAAACGTATAGAAATAAGATTTCAGACTGAGAAAAGCGTGCCTTGGTAGATGCTGTTTTGAAATAAGGGAGATGTTTGTTCATAATCCAGTGGAGGACACCAGTATGAGTACTCGAACCCAACTACACGAAAAACGGTGTCGTAGTTCGAATCGAGAAAGATGGGAAATGGTACCATTGCTCCAAATAACGATGCCGCACTCGATCAATGAGCGCACATGAGCGTTGAAGGCACGCAGCAAAGCCCTGTGATTGAACCGCGCTTTACGAAAACACGGCAACCTTTGCACGCTTCGCATGGGAAGGCCAGCACCCTGTATAGCTTTGAGGCGGTCGAATCTTTGTGGATGGCAAAAGTACGTTTGGTGTCCAGGAAAACGCCAAGATCACCAATGTACTGGCAGCTACCCAAACAGCAACCGTCTAGTGCATATGAGTACTGAACAGGTGAAGTGCGGATGGTGAATGAGATGGAATTGCACTTAGCTGGGTTCAGTTTCAGTCCCCAATTGTTGGACCATTTACAGAGGCGATCCAAATCCGCCCGAAGCGTGGGCAATCTCACGTTGTCCATTCGGTGACGAATTTACGCATCATCAGCGTACATAGCATTCACTCTCAATTTCGTCAGGAACATAAAGCAGAAAGCAGGTGAATAACAACGGTCCCAGGATGCTGCCCTCCGGGACACGCTTAAAAATTGAAATGAGCCGGCAATGTTTGAGTAATGTAGAATTCCGCATCCGTTGAGCCTCAATTTCACTTTGAAAGTGACGTTCAGTTCTCGGGACGTTTTTGACGGACGCTGATTCTTGCGCTGGTGAATGTGCTGGTGCTTAAAACAAGTTGGATCCGCCGGTAGTTTTTGGCAATATGGAGTTCCTCGTGCTTTTACAGTGCTTTTAACCTTAAGGATCGTATGATACTGAAAAATAAATGTTATTTTGACTGTTTCCGAGCTCAAATTGATCAACCCACGTTTTTAGTGAAATTGGAACTCGTCGCTGAATAAATGAGTGAATAAATAGCCAACTTCACGGACATGCTTGTGTGCCTGTTGGCCGGAAAAATATATAGTTTGATAGCATCATCGCCACGTCTGGCGGCGTCTAATTAAAAATGTCCCGTACCTTTGAACGACTCCCGACATGCATGCCTAGCCGTCCGCTTTTTTAGCACTAAGTCTGCGATGATGGCCCGGTTTCAGGCCGCAGGCTTGAAAAATGGCCTTACACTGAGACATCACACAAGCGGGCCACAGAAAATATATTTTTCCACTCTACGCGTTTTTTCAGTTTTTGGCACCCCGATACGCGAGGTGCCGAACATGTTGTAGACTGAAAACTAGGTTTACGGCCAAGACTAGACATTTCATCGCACACTGCTTAATCTAACTTAAAGCCTCTGTGCTCATAGTAATACATGCAATGTATTGCAATGTATGCATTGTGTTGTGCTGCATGTATTGCAATGTATGTATTGCAATGCAGATGTATTACATGCAACGCGCACTAGCATGAGTTCTCAGCGTGTAAGGGGTTTTTTAATAGTAACGGAAGGCATCGTCATGAGAGGTATAGGTGGACATTAGCCACGTCCATGAAGGCAGCTATTAATGTTGACACAAGCTCCGATTCCACTGAAAACGCTTCGGGTGACCAATTACGGCGCGAGAACACCGAATCTAATGCCTGTTTTTCAATGTCACGTGACGTTCGAGGTCCAAATCAAAGAACCTTATCGCCCAAAGGTTATCAGCCGATTCCAAATATATATAGTTGGAATCCTGTCGATCGCATAAACCAGCGTCCGTCGAACAGACTTGACCTCTCAGGGTCAAGTTTTAAGGTCGAATGACCGATCTTAATATCATGCAAAGGTTGTCGATCAATGTCGTTTTTTAAGATGCCAATCTTTCTTAGCATATATCCCAGTGTTCGTCGAAATGTCCTGGCCTACCGAAGTCAAGTGTCAAGGATAGGCTCAAGGTTAAATGACGAGAAACGTTGGATGAGTATTGGGACTATTTCACAGCCGCTTGTTTACACGCTAAAGAAGATTCTAATGTTGAAATCTAAAATTGCCCCGAAACTCCTGAGCGATGTGTGCAGCTTTCCATATTTTTCTTAAGCGTTTTATCCGAACATTTCAAATGGATGGATTTCTGGCATCAGAGATCACGCTATGCAGTGCATGTTGTGTGAGTCCTGACCCCTTCCATCCGACGGCGCAGCCCCACGTCAGCTTTTTCTAGTGATTCTATGACAGAATTTTATGGCGAAAGCTTATCGTACCGCAATGCTCGGCACGGTCTGCCCTGCCCTCTGATGTCATCTGATCTTTATTGCGGCCGCTGCCACTGACCGCAAGTCATACCTATCAAGGTCAAATGGCGAGCACTTAGAGCGACTTGAACTTACTTTGTCACGGCTGGGTGAATCGGAAGGCCTGCGCGCGAACCAAATGAGCCATCAGGACGAACATTTTATCTAGAATTTGACCTTGAAGCGTGACCTTGTGATGTTACGTATCATTGACGCACGCCAGTTGATGCGCTGAAGAAAAATCTGATGTTTAAAATCCGAACTGGACCAGAAACTTTAAGGCAATGTAGGAGTTCGTTATTTGATCTTGAATTTTGCCACAAAGTTTGG